GGAGCCTGTGCCCGGCCAGGCTGGTGGGAGGCGAAGGACCGCCCTGCGAGCCACAGTTCAGCGGGGAAGGTTGAGGCGATGCCCTTCTCGGTCTGCGACCGGGGACTGAAGAGGAAAGAGGAGAGAGGGACAGGCAGGAGGCAGAGCCAGAATCACAGCCCCGCGGGATGCGGTGGGGGAGAGCGCGCAGTCCTGGGGAAGCGGATTAGTTTCGGGTGTTACCCGAAGGACCCCCCTCCCGCAGCGGCCACGATACCACCGGTCCCGGGGCACACGGGGAACAGCCTGGGGCCGAGGGACAGGCAGAGCTTCTTGGCCAAACGTCCCCAGGCCACGCTGCCTCTGTTCACCTGAGCTGTCAACGCCTTCCTCCCTGCACCTTCCTCGTCCGACTCGTCCGACCCTAGCAGGGAAGCGCACAATTAACACACAGCTGATGAAGACCCCACATGCACAACCTCCCTCGGACAGGCAGCGTCCGATCCCCGCAGCCTATCCGATGGTAAAAGCGACACAGCCCAGGCCCTGCCTCCCCGAACGCCTCTGCTGCGCAGCCGGCTGGCAGGCGCTGCTCTGCTCTCCGGAAGGCCGAGCACGAACCGGGTGTCAGCTACACCGAGACAACTGCTCCGGCTGACGTCTCCTCACTCCCGAGCAGGGGAGGTCTCCGGAGCCGGCACGAGGCGGTGTCACAGGGCAGTGGCATGCTGCCAGCTCCTATCCTCACCTGCTTGTGGCAACTCACTCCTGTGCCCTCATCCCGAGGGCAGCATTTTTCAAGTCCTTTAGCCGCAGCTAAGAGCATTTAATCCCAAGACCACAAAAGGCTCCAGTTTCCCACAGCGCTGAAGCCAGGCGTGCGGGGCTGAGCGTGACTCCGCTCCGCAGATGGCAGAGAGACCGTGCCCATGCCTCCCCTGCCCAGGCACAGGCGCAGTGCAAGCAGAGGAGAGCCCATTTTGCAGTGTCAGTTCTTGGAGGCCCTGCCACCCACCGCTGCCAAGGGCTGGGATAACGAGACAGAGCTCAGGGAGGAGGCAATTACGGAGGTGAGGAGACCCTGGAGGAATGTCGTGAGGGGAACAAGCTCGGGAACCGAGGCAGCACGGCTGCCAGCGAGGTGACAGCAGAAGAGGAAGAAAGCATGCCTTACCTGCGAAGGACTCTGGTGGGGAGTAGAACTGCCCCTCGGAAAGGGCTCTGGGGTAGAGCAGGGGGCCGCGGGAGGCTGCAGCCTGGGCTGCCAGGTACCCTGTGAACCAAAGCACAAGGCTTTACACACGTGGTGTCCAACACGCTTCAACACCAAGGGGTCCTGGGGCCCCCACGCCACCCACCCCTACTCAACCACCCTCCCAGCCACTTTCTTCCAGACACAGCTGGTCTTTTCACACTGACACCAGCCAGCCCACAAGCTTTTCAGCTCCTCTTGCCTCATCTTTTGTTTGAGACATTTTATCTGCATGGAGATCAATGGGCTCTTTTGCCTGTCAAATCCAAAGGCGATTAAGCATCTAATTAAATAAGAGCTTCCCCTGGAAGCAATTTGGAACCCGAGCCTAATCCAATAGAGGCATTAAACACTTGATCATTTTTCATCTTAAAGCCTCCTTGCAAGACCCAAACATCCTCTGGTGTTTTCCAGTCAGTCAGTGCATTTCTGATTGAGCCTCGCTTGACAAATACTCCCTCGTTTACGTGCCATTTCCCAGTCCTCTTTCATCAGTTATGCCTGGGAGAACGACAAACTCCTTTTGCTGCTTTAGGAATGGGCAGCCGTGCCAGTCCAGGATGAGCACCCACTCCTCAGAAGGGCCCCTGGAAGTTACAGGTGCCCGGCACTGCAGGGTAATTCGTAAAGCATTAGGTCAGACTCGATCTCCATTTAGTCTGACCTCAGCAACCAGAGGCTGTAAAATTTCACACACCATAACTCACGCCGCACCCCTGTAACGTGTCTCTGACTGAAGCAATCCTCTCAGAAAGGTCTCCAGTCCAGATCCAAAGACAGATATCCAGAGACGGAGAGTCCAACAGTCTGCCTGGCATTTGTCCCACTGTTTCAAAACATTTTCTCCGATGCGGAGGTGAGCTCTGTTTCCAACACGTCTGGCTTCAAGATCCAGACATTGGGGAATCTGGCATGTTTTTCTCCACTCAATTAAAAGATGCTTTTTATAATCTGGTATTTTCTTCCCCTGAAGGGACTTATATACCATAACAGAATTGAGTCAGGCACTTACCATCACAGCCAGCCTGGAGATCACTTCTCCATAAATGTCATATCTGTCAAGGTGCTGCCAAAGCAGCAGAAACCCCAGGCCTGGTAGTGTCATCTGCCAACTCCTACCAGAGAGGAGCAAAATACTTACATCGTTCCTCTTCTGCTTCCTGAGTTAGGACTTTAAAATCCAAGAACCAAGTCTCCAGCCAAGCAATGACAAACGAGACGATAGGAAGTAAATAGCCGAAAGCCCCTTTGGTCAGAAGCTGCGTGGAAGAAAGTAGAAACCACAGGGAGTTTACACAAATGGGAAAACAGTAACATCACGAGATCACAAAGCAATCCCCTGTGAGCCCAAGGAAACCGACCTCGGAGAGGATGACCTTCACAATCAGGAAGGCACTGGATACCAATGTAGTGACCTGAAAAACAAATTTACGTATCTCAGATCCCTGTAAACTTTAGGTGGAGAGAGAAAACTAAAAACAGGAAATCAAAAATTGCCTTCTTACCGCTATGACCCACCAGTGGCGCAGTTTTACGATTGCATAGGCCAGCAGCAACACAAAAAACCGAAAGAAAGCCAAGACCTTTAAAAACAAAAAGCCATCGACACTAGTCACTGCCCTTGTCCCTCTGCCAGGTGCTGGGAGGACACAGACACGGGCCAGCTCCCGAGGACCTCTCCACCTAGACAGATGGGTCAAGGCTGCAACAGGATGGGCTGCGACCTGCCCAATGTCACTGAGCCAGGCGAGGAGCAAGGCTGCGGGGAGACCCCAGCCCCTCCAGCACACAGACCTCCCCCTGCCCAGCCTTCGGCCACGCCACCCCTAGCTCCAAAGCTGTTTCCTCACCTGCAGCAGTCTGGGATACTCACAAATATATCAAAGAAAGAGGTCTTAAAACTGTACTCGATGATTTCATTCTCCAAATTCTTCTGAATGCCATCCTTGGTCTGAAGGGGAGACGGGAAACCAGAAAGCTATTGAGTGCACTGATAAGAAACTAATGGCAGAAAGAACCCGGCCAAGCGGTGACCGGGGGTTACCGCCGGGTCAGGTTATGCATCAGGCATACAAATGCCTGTCGCACGCACGACGCGGGCTCATCTGCCAAGGCAGGGCCACGGGAGGATACAACAGCCCATTTCACCCTCGGTTTCACACCGAGGAGCGCGAGTTGGGTAGCCAGAGCTGGAGCAGCACGCAGGTACATCAAACACTTCTATGTGGGGGCTTTCTAACACCGAAAAGCCGCTCCTTTGGCGCAACACATCCAGCGACGCCGGATCACAACTCTCACAGCCTAAAGCCCTCGGTCGGACAACACCTCCCACTCGTGCCCACCCGCTTCCACGCGTGGCTTCAGGTGACAGACTTTGGCTGTTACAGGAGGAGACGCAGAAAAAAATGAAAAGCCACAGGAAAACTGCTTCTCTAGCACCTTCGGTGAGCGCTGAACAAAGCGTCTTCTACAGCTGGACAATCAAAACACGTCCCCCGCGAGGGCTCTCAGGGGTCACCCAGCAACCTGGTGGAATTTAAGCTGCGATCGTCCTCGTGCAAAGCACCAAGGGATCCCCTCTCCTTTCTTCCAGGCCAGCTGGCTTCCCACAGCTCACCGCAGTGCTGAGCTGCGCTCCAGGAAATCTGAAGGAGGAAGTCAACCAGCAGGTTTAAACGTACTGGCAAAGGGGAACAGGGAGGAGAAGAGGACCAGGGACATACAGACACAGGCAGACTGCAAGGAAATCTGAGAGAGGCAAAACCACTTTCTGGGATATTGTACGGGAGCATGGAAAAAGCTCACAGAAGAGTTCTTCTTGCCTCACCCTGAGATAATCTGGGGCCTGACAGCCCTGGTACTTTTGACACCATAAATCCTGTTCTCGGGAGCCTGGAATCGCTGTTTATGAGGAAGTGGATGGCTCAGGTAACTGGAACAAATGCTTCACCTTTAGGCTATTGGTTTGAACGCAGCCCAGCTGGCCTGGAAGCTGGTATAGGCTGACAGCTGTTTGATGATCTGTGAGAAACAAGTTGGTGGATCTCAGGCCAGTTCTTGGCAGCCTGGTGTCCTGGCACCCTCTTGTCAGACAGTCCAAGGACAGAAGAGGCAGCCATCGGGAAGCAGTCCCTCTAGGTCAGGGCTGGTGCTTAATATTCAGGGAGAGGGGGGCAAAGCAGTTCTGCACTATTGCTTTATCTGATCTGCGGCTACAGGACTCGTGCCAGCCAGCTCTGCTGAGCTGCCACCGAAAGCCTCTTCCTCAGACCATGACTCCAATATGAGATGCTGCAGGAGGAACGAGACACAAGGCAGGCTTTGGATTGTGATTTCTGGGAGGTGTTTTCAGTTTAAATACAGGCCACTGCTGTGAACAAGGAAGAAGAACCATCTGAGGCATCTCTCTGTCTCTGAGAGCAGCAAGCCCGCAGAATTACAGTTTGCAGGCAACAGACATTTAACGAGGGCTAATTTGCTCAGCTTATCTTGCAGCGAAGGAAACCGTTTGATAAAAAAAGCATTAGTCATGATACAAAATCGTTGCTCTTCATAACTAGGCAAATAAGCTGTCCTAATAGCTTTAAATATGCAGCATCTCGGCTCAGGGCCCAAATATCAGCAGTTAGTCACTCATTAATGGCTACCTGCAAGACCTATGCTCAGAGTCGCCCTGGTGACCGCGCTGGCAGATTATCTCCCCCAGGCTGGGTTTTTTTTGATTTGTAGACAGCACCTCTCCAGAGAGCCCAGAGAATAAAGGACAAGACCAGGAGGCTGGGGTCCAAGCCAGGCGCATGGGACACCATCGGCATCGCTGGAATGCTGGCGGAGAGGGTTTTCCTAGGTGGAGGGGAAGGGGTCTCTTCAGGCTCTTGACACCGCATGGGCAGGGAGAGGGAGCTGCTAGCCGAGACAATCTGTTAAGTGCAGACACCCAGGAGATAAACAGGGCAGAGATAAGAGCTGCTAAGTGAGCGCAGGATCCAGTGCTGATAAACAAAGGCCAGACACCGGCAGGGCTGCACGCAGAAGCGCTGGGGTCTATCTGTTCATCTTGCCTCTCTGCTCAGGTTGTTCCGTGGGAGGACATGTAGTACCCGAAACCCGCCGCCAGCACAGCTGAAACCAGTCAGGACCAGTTCAGGAAAAATAAAATAAAATACAGCCCAGGGAATAACTCTGACCTGATGGGACTGAGGTAAATAAACTGGATTTCCCTGGTCATTCCCACAGTTGACCCACTGAGCAAACGCAGCAGCCTGCACAGGCATGGCAGCCGCTGCGGAGAGGACCAAAACCCTCGTGTTCCCCTTCGCTAGTGCCCTGTGTGGTGGGGCAGCATCTCTGGCTTTCAGAAGCTGAGATTAGTAGCAGTATGTTGGGACCAAAGCTGAAAGCCCTTTTTGTCTCTGCCCAACAGCTGGGCGGGCGAGAGGAGGGTCTGCACATCCTACCAACGCTCTGAGAACAAGACACTGCAGCAGAGCTGGCAGCCGCTTGGCAAACACAGCGAGCAGCCTCACTTAAGGCAAGGGAAGCAGGAGAGAAATTTGGCCAACTGCTCAACCTGGCGATTCCACGGGCCCCAGATCTCATTACACTACAACATACAGCGCTACACGCTACGGCGTTAACGACCCTGGACAGCCACAACAGAGCCCGGTTGCAGGAAATGAGCTGGACTTTCGTTTACACTAACGGCGCAGCGGTTTCTCAGCCAGCGCAAATCAGCAGAGCACTGGGAAGAACAAACACAGACTTGGCTCAAGACTTCTGAAACGGAGCAATTAATGCTGAGGGAACAGAATTAAAAAAGCACAACTTAAAAGGTAAAGACTCCACAGATTTGCTTCCCCCAACTTACATTCAATTCGATTATCCACAACAAGGAGATGAAGAGCAGGTCGAAGGTGACGAAGAGGCAGAAGGTCCTCCTCACATCTGAGATGGCTTTCCTCTTCTCCGGAGAGAAGTAGCAATACGGGGAGAAGCCCTGGCTCTGGGAGAACGAGGTGCTGATGGATGCTATGGCTGGGAGGCTTCGTTCCAGGTCGTGCTGCAGGTCTGTCGGCTTGCTCATCCTTGGCCCAAGCGACTTGGGTCCTACGTCAATCGGGGCAACATCTGCCAAGTCAGTGCGTCACCTGTGGGGAGACACAAAGGGGACCCTCAGGCCTCGGGTCTCTGGATACCCCTTCTCCTCTCTCCCTCTAAAGGCAAAAATGCCTGTTACCAAATCAGAGCCTGTCTGTGTTATACAATTCCCGAGGGCAAAGGCTAATGCTGGCTTCTGGGCTGCCAAAGAGCCTCCCTCCCTGAAGCAAAGACATCCAGGGCTCACCCCAGGGCTGCCCCATCTCACCCTGGCACCCCACGTTCACCAGCACAGGCAGGGATCCTCCTTCCCTCTTGCTCACTGCAGGGAAGGAGGAATCCGCTGCGAAAGGCTCAGAAGTGCAGGGGGTCTGTGGAGCCACCAGCAAGTGTCACTGGGACCCAGAGGCAGCCACGCAGAACAAGCTCACAGCACGGCGAGCCAAGCTGGCGGCTACAGCCAGCGGCCAGAGCAGCAGATGGCAAACCCCACGGAGATGCCACGGCAGCAGGAAAAGGGGCCCCAGGGTATTTCCGTGGAGGTCCGTGATCCAAAAGGGAGCAGTGCCCGGGATCCTGAAGCCATCCCAAGCTACAGCAGCCTCCTCTGCAGGGACAGATGCAAAGCTCCCAGGGGCTCGACGCTTTGCACAAGGCGAACTGCAAAGCCTCGGGAGCCGGTCATCCCGTCGGATCCCATCCCGCATGGCCGAGAGAGGAGCCTGTTCACTTCAGGAGCAGGACGCTGGGTTTCACGCCCAACTCCGGCCAAGCGGAGCAGCAGGAAGGCAGCAGGGGAAAGCACTGCTCTCTGTCCTGGCCGTGGCAGCTGGCAGTGCCGGGCGCACAACCCCGACGCGAGCGAGGTGTTGAGGTCTGAAGGCTGTTTTCACGCAGCCTGTGCCAAGCATTGTATTAAAATTTTTCCTCTCCGTCAGCACCGCACAAGGAGGCCACTATGTTAATGGACCGTGCAACTAAGCACACGCTGAAGACAAACAAGGAAAGAAGATGCCAAAACAGGTCAGGCCAGGGATCTGTCAGTCCCCGGCTCTGCCACCTCCGAATCACCCATAGCAAAGGCACAGCTACGAACTCCTCCTATGCAAAATAATCCTGCTCAAGGTCATTTTGCCTTCAAAAAACCAGATTCTTTGCTGCATTAGCTACTGCCCTAGCAGTTCTGCATCCTCCAGGATCCGAGTGAGGTTTGTTTGGCTACAGCAGATCACACTTGGCACAACCAGGAGGCTGCAGCCACACAATGTCCAAGGGAAAAAGCCCCGAGACTCTGCCCAGACCTGCGGGAAGGGGCATTCCACAGGACAGGCGAAGCCAGGCATGCTGCCAAGCCCCACTGGACACTGGAGCAACTCCAAGAGCTGAGCACAGACCGATTTTGGGTACTTCTAGGTCCCTGCGCTAGCGGCTTCTGCGTCCCAGCCCCCAGGGAGCACCGGGGCTGGAAAGGGAACAAAGCTGGACTCCTGTCAAGTCCCCGTTAGTCTCTCTCGGAGGCACTTCGGAAGGAGCTGGAAGACTTGTCACTTCAGATCAGCTGCAACGACCACGGCCCTTCGCTGCTTCGAGTGAGGGGCCCATCTCAAACTGAGAAAAGTTAAAGACATCTGTGAGAACTAAATAATACATCGCCTCATGCACGGGCTGCCTCCACCTCTACGGCAGGGTGTCACTGCCTCCTTCCCTCAAACACCACTTTGCACTTAGGCAGCCCCCCGCAACTTTCACAGCGCTCTAAAATCACCCT